GTCCAAGAATTAATTCTATCCCTGACAGAGTAAATGTATGAGAAGCTGTCATTAAACCAAAGACTGAACGTTGCAGCTGATTTACCTTGGAGTGTAGCTGGCAGCATAGCGGGCCTGCTGCCTCGAGCTGCTGTAGACAGAGAAAGTCCTTTTGCTGGAGTCACTGCTGTGTGCTTTCCTCACACCTTCTTCGTACAAAAGACCAACCTACAGTAGAGAACAGAGGTTCATAAGGCAGCCTGCTCACAAATGCTGATGACAGCATAATGGGTGGCCTTGAGGACATAATGCAGATGTCGTGATTATGCAAACTGACCTGCACATCAATGGAGGTGGTGTCCTCTACCACTCTCTTCATCACAGCACGGACATTTCGTGGCTCGATGGTGTTCACCCAGTCTCGTGTTTCCACGCTCTTTCTTAACATTTGGGAGATAATCAGGCCCTGAACCTGCAAAAACAAACAACAAAATATGAATAAATACATACTTGTGATTAAATAGTAATTTGTAGAAGTTTCTTCCTGCATTGTTGTCCCAGTAAGAAAAGTAACTCAGTGAATGTTGTAGGTGAAAACCTACCTTTACATAATGGTTCAGTAGTTTCTGTGCTGCCTCCCTGGCTTCTGCACATAAAGTTGTGACGGGTGTTACGGGACTGTGGTGCTAAGAGAGTACAAAAAGAAGAAGACATATATTTAGCTTTTGGTAGTGAAATTTGTTTGTTGTTTGTTATTTAAAAACACAACCAATTAGTCATATTTTTCAGGACTGATGCAATAAAATGCAACTTTCAAGAGCATTTTTTACAGTGTAATATAGCCTTTTGTGTGTGCAGTATTATAATTAATCATGATATTATATTACCTGCACAAGAAACTGTTCATCTGTGAGAGTGAGTATGTAGGAGATAGTGGATGTTTCATAGTCCAAGCAGAGGCGGGACAGCAGCAGCAGAAGAGCCGGAGGAGTCGAACCTCCCTTGTCTCCTGCACTCTCACAAAACTGGCGTGAAGACTGGCACACAAACTTAATAAAGCTCACCACCAGGCTCTCACGCACACCCTGGCTGCAGAATTCACCCTACGAGGAGAAGACAGACACAGACAGCTGTCACTCTCACAGTGCAGAAACAAAACAGAAAGTCTACACAAGATACTAAAAAATTTTATATAAAGTCATTATTGAATATCTTCCTTTGTGTTCAGCAGGGCTATTAGCTAATCGTTGATATGGGATAGTTTGGAAAAGGATTTTTTGGCACATAAACAGAGAAACTATTCACCTTGAAGTACGGCTTGTTGGAGAATGTAATGTCCTTAGCTGTAAAGAGATGCACTGATGCAAGCACTGACTTAATCTGATTGAGAATCGAGGCTGATAGGGAGGAGAGCAGCTCTGGCAGGCTGTTTGGAGCATCTCTGCCTGAGGCCGGCCCCCCTAGGTGGGCCCCGCCTCCAGCCACTGAAGCACTGGCCACAGAGAGCCGAGGCGTCGCCAGGGCCTGCCTCACGTCCGTCAAGCTGTCCATGTAGAAGCTCTGCAGGGCAGAGAGGTACTGCTTGACTCGCTCTGTTGCTGCCCGGATCACAATTTCAGTCCCCTGGTTTGGCACAGCAGAGCCTGGAAGCAGTTTGGTCACAGCCTGAAGTCTGCGGTGGAAGCGGTCGAGTGCGCGGACTAAGAGGGAGTTATCTGCAACCCCTTTCTCCTCCTGTATCCTCCGCTCCACAAGCGAGAAATACCGAGCAGCCAGATCATCCACAAAGGCATTCAACTTCCCATTTGCCATCTGAGGAATATTTTTGGATGCCAACTCGCCTTTCTGAGCATGGTTGATAAATAGTTCTTGATAGGATGTAATTACTAAACATAAGCTGCTGACAAATTCATTGCAGCCTCTGTCAATGAATTCCAGGATGTCAGTGTTTGAGGTGGGAGAAGGTATAGTGCTCGTTTTAGGAGAGTTATAAGTCGGAGATCCAGCGGCTGCAGTAGATGACAACCTGTGTCCAGAAGCATCTTTCATGGCTGAGGCAGACGGGTAGGGTCTTATCTCTGCTTCCAGACCCTGAAGGTCTGACTCAAGTCGAGATTGTGCATGGCTCAGGAATTTGTCACAGAGCTCCTCTGCTGGCTCATCCAACTGTAGCAGCAGCTCCACACACTCTGATAAATCTTTGGCGCTTGACCCACCATCCCTTTAGGACAAAACAAGTAGAAATAGATTATCTACAGGGAATGTAAAAATCAGACCCAAATAAATCTCTCTTCAAACACTTTTTGAAATTCAAACTGCAAAAAGGATTTTGTACAGGCAAGCAAAGCATTTAATAATGACAACTGCATTACAGAAAATGTTGATGTACTTTTTAGTTGAGCTGCATGATATCATGCATATATCTGCAATATACAGTAACAAATAAATGTTCAAATAAATTGCAATATTAGTTTGCGTCTCTAATCTGAACATATATTGACAGATTCCCACCTGAACTTCTGTCGAAGCTCCTGTGCCAGCTTGTCCATGATGGCGTGACAGTCATCCTGAATTCCCTTGAAGGAGGGCAGGTGGCTGTATTGCTGTAGCACACAGCGGGCACGGCGGTGGGATCTCACTGCCTGAGCATAGGCCTGCAGCTCCAGACACTTATTTAATCTGGCAGGCAGTTCAAACAGAAACTGCAGCTTCCTTAGCAGAGTGTGAACCCCTAAAAATTTAACATAGCAAGACAAAAATGTCAAAAATAATCACCATCACAAAGTCCCCCACAACTGACTCAACAAAACAAACTGCCAGTTTCAGTCTCACCTGAGAGTTTAGTAATCTGTGCGTGCTGGTCTTGAAGAGTGCCACTGATACGAGCACTGAACTCAGTGATTGCCGCCATGTTAGCAGACAAACAATCCATTTCATCCTCCATTTTTTTGAAGTCGTTCTTCATCTTTCTTATGGTGTCTGGAAAAAAACAAGGAAAGATGAGCTACTACTATCCAGATACACAACACATTTCAACTGTAACTCAACAGCGAGTGAGACATTGCCTCACCTGTTGCAGATATAAACTTGTTGTAGTTTTCATACACCAGTGTTTGCATGTCACTGTCCAATGAGCGGATCTGCTTGACCATGCAGGTCTCCTGGTCCATCAACTCCGCAAGAGAGCACTCCCTTCTGAGCTGTGTTTGGACACAAAACACATAATGGTCACAGTCTAAAAACAGTACATATAAAGTACAAATGACACAGTATTGAGTGCGTCTTGGCTATTCTCAGAACCTTTTTAACCAAAGCAGTGTTAAATTATTATCCACTGCCAGTAAATGTGTGTATATTCAATCACCGTCATTCCCCGACCATATGTGTGGAGATTTTAAGTTACTGTATATTTACTGGTAACTTGTTACATAATAATTTGTGGTATAATATTCTTAAAAATTGCATTCCACCAGTTTGGTAATGAAAACTAAATTCTAGTCCCAGTAAGTTTAGTGGTTCTTTAACCTTTATTCTAAGGTGATGCATCCCAGACACTCAAATTTTCTTTAAGTATAATCATTATTTCCCCAACTACATTATAGGAAATGGCACTCTGGCTCAATGGGATTCTTCGAGATAAATTAGTTTATTAACATTATAATCTCCCTAATATAACAACAGCATATAGACCTATACATACTGTCAATGATACAGACAAGTACTGAGCCTGTAGTTCAGCAGCTCCAGGTAACACTGACACAGACAGCAGCGGTAACAGCATACAGTGCAGAGGCCATTATGTGAGTTGTATCACTGTGGAAACTGTTCACATGACAGCAGTGGTCTCTAACCTTGTTGAGGAAGAGCTCCGGGTCGAAATGCGGCCCGTTGATGTCGCAGGGATCCAGGGACTCCGGCTGCTCCTCGGCCTTTCCTTCCTCATTCAGCCCGTAGTAGAGCTTCAACATGCCGTGCACCCTATGCCTCCTGCCGGGGCCGGAGTCCTCCGACACCGCCTCCGAGCCTACCGCCTCACCGTCCATACTGCAGTACAGCGGCCAGCGGGGAAACAAATACAATGACGATAAACAAAGATGACGAGTGTCCAGCTGGCAGGAGAAAACTGACAACCACTGCCTGAAAACCTTAACGTCTTGCTCCAAAGTTACTGATATTCCTGTAGCTTAGTGGTCTGTTCTTAATAAGAAAGCCTTTTAAATAAAAATAATGAATAAGAAGATGTCATATTTCTCCAAAAACACAAGCAGCTAGCTTGAAAACGTTGCAGTTTCCGGGTTTGCAGCCTATCCGGTGCTGCTACGTCGTCAAAGAGCGTGTGTAGTCAAGAGAGACTGCGAGGAATGATGTAGTTCTGGTCTCACAGCCCGGAAGTGCACTACTGCGCAAGTCATACTATACTACACTTCAGATATACCGAATAGGTGTATGAATTATGTATATTGATGATTTTTTTAGATTGTCAAAATTGATACTAATCCAATGAAATGAACAAGGGGATGGGCTGCAAACAAACAAAAACAAAACTAAAGGGGCTTCATCTTTTGAGAACACTCTTCATTTTATTGGTCAAAGATTCAAAATCTGACAAATGATATTGAATCATGAACAATACTGTAACAGTGGACTGATATCCCATTCATTTAGTTATTAGTAATTATTCATACTAAATGAGTTCATTTAAAACCATTTCCACAGAAGTAATAACAAAACAACTGTATAAATATGCATTAACAGTGTTAGATCACTCACCTCACTACATCTGCACATTATATTACCAATAATAAAATCTAACAATGCTTTTTCAACTGTCATTAGACTTACCAAGTTGAAATGTTACAGGAGGTAAATCTACAGTATCTGAACAGTACACATGGCAAAATAAAGGGCAGCAGGACAAACAGGTTGGTTAAAGGGTAGAATGGGTCAAAATATATAGAGACAATAAACATGGCCAAATAACCTATTGCCTTAATAAAATCACACACAAGGTAACTGTTAGCACTAGTGAAAAAAAGTATGGCTTTAATATGCTTAGGCTGTAGGTAGTTGTAAACACACTTTATAACATATTTTCAGAGAAATGGGCCCACTTTGCATGTGTTTATTTAAAAAAAAAAAAAAAAGCATATTAGACATGTTTTAATGAAGGCAAAAGGAACCACAATACACTGTTCAACAGCATCCCAGTGTAGTTATGCAGTATATCAATATACTCACATCAGCTAGGAAATGTGAAATGCATGGTCTATTTGAAAATATGAGAAATATATTACAAAACAATTCAGTTTTTTTAAACCATAGCAATAACAAAAAAGAGGTCTGGTTTCCAATCACCAGAACAGTCATTCAGATGCCAACTCAGTACAAACAAAAAGGCACTTAATGCTTCTGCAAAGTGATTGCTCGAGAAGATAATGCTTAAAATGACCTATTTCTTCACTTCATTCTTGTGTACAAACACTGACAAGTATATGAAAATGAAAGTAAAAATATTCTCTCATAAAAGCTAACAAACAATACAAAACAGCTGCAGATTTATAAACAGTGTATTAGTATTAATAGTGCAGTATCACATGATGTGTAGTCTGTCGGAATGCCTATTCTACAATGTGACATGCATAGTGTGAGTAAGCAACAATATATTGGACTGCTGCAGTGAGGTTACAGACTGTAGCTGACATACGTCAAAGCATAGAAAAGTAGAAACATTCTACAGTTTGCATGCTCAGGAGAATCAGGAAGAATACATAATGTCACCACATCTTACATCCAGACATAATGGAGTGGAAGGCAGTATTATATGATAGATGTACACCTTCTTTCAGGGCCATTAGGGAGGTGAGCTTGTCTGTTAAATGTACAGCAAAGACAGAAATGGCCTATGTCAGCATTAGGGCGAAGTTCAAAGAGAAAGCTGGAGGACACTGAAATCTGTCTCTGGAGGGTTAAGGTAGCACACTGTGTTGCAGCATGTTAGATAGGCTTGCTTTGGTGTACATACTGAGATTTGAACAACACAGTCAAAAGTTCTTGGTCAGTTGGTCTGTGCCACACACACACACACACACACACACACACACACACACACACACACACACACACACACACACACACACACACACACACACACACACACACACACACACACACACACACACACACACACACACACACACACACACACACACACACACACACACACACACACACACACACACAGTCACTGCCCAGTGAAAACCACGTATCTCAGATAAACTGAAGCATTTAATGTTCCTTTATGGGAAATAATTTTTTTTTTATATTTTTTAAAACAAAATAACCCATGAAAAACCCACATAGGAGTGTGTAAAAATGCAGTGTCACAAAGCTGAAAACTGGCGTCGACATAGTGTTCCCCGTCTTCTTTCAGATAATGTCAATTGTGATTGTGTTTGCAATGAAAACAATCATTTCAAATGTCCAACCGAAATTTAGACATGAAGGCTGCAGTCTGAATTTGCCAGACTAGTTTTTGAGTCCGTAGGTTAAAAGTAGTGCTGAACAGAATTATTTTTAGTCTCTCTCATGTCAGAAGTTGCACAAGTGCGCTATTGCACCAGTTTTACTTTGCTGATCAGGCAAGTAATAGTTAAGACCTTGTACTGTGACAATTTAGACATTAAAAGTTGAGTATGAAATTCTAACTGGTATGGTACATTAACTGGAATTAATAGAGCTTTTATTAAATTCATTTTTACTAACTTACAGTTTGGGTGGTTTTTGACTTTCATTGGTGCAAATCAATTCATGCTCCCCACTGAGGACTCCCTACTGTGAATTTGTCATTTTACATTCAGGCCATTTCGCTTTTACTAAAAAAAAAAAAGTGGGATGTTCCACCTGCGCTTCCACGATAACCAGCTGCAGATATTAAATCATGTCAAACTATTAAAATCATTTACTTACAAGAGACGTCCACAGCACAGACCATGTGCTCCCATACGGACTCTTTCTGATCAATAACGGCAACCACTCAACGCTTCTACCACTACTTTTCTAAAGTGTCTTCACCCTTTCATGAGAACAAGGCACTGGCAGTTTGAAAAAGCAGAATAGTGGGAACACGCCCTCAGATCGTCCCCTGAAAGTGTTTGTCATGCTGACTGTAAAGAGTTTGTTCTAACTCTTGCAGCTTTGAGGAGGAGTTACAAAATGTTTAATGTTGTATGGGGATATATTGAGGTGTTCTCGATGTTCAAAACCCCAATATGAGTTCAAGAGGTAATGCAGTGGTTATAGTCGTATGAGGTTTAACATTTTTGAATAATATACAACAGCTCAAGAGCGCTGCAGAAAGGTCATGAGATATCATACAGTCATCGAATGGAGTCGTTGCCTGAGGATTTCTCTAAGGCTCGTCTCAGACTTATGAAGCAATAGCCATCTAATGAATAGACTCTTCACTTTAACCTCGGATGCTTCGCTGTTAATAGATCTGTTCATTTTTCACATTACTGTACTCTCTTAATATACACAACTTCAAAAGATAAATATTGTCACTCACACTTAGATCCCTCACTTGGTCCTTTGCTTGTTCATATATTATCAGTAAAATGTCTCGAGCTTGTATCAAGTCTTTCAATCTCAGTGTAAAATGTTCAGGTTTGGTCTTTCAGAGGCATAGGGTGGAGCTGATACATTAACCCTGCTCCAGACTCTCTGTCACTTGCACAGCAGAGTACGTGGGTGCAGACGCCTGCCGGGTAAAAAAGGATGCGGCCCTTTTCGGCTTCAAGCGTTTGATTTCTTTTCCTGAAAGACAACAACACGGACAAATATGGAACAATTACTCCAACTGAAGGTACTACAGGGAGATTGTCTACATCTAGAGAGATTGTAGTGTAAGTAGGCTAGAACAACTAACTGTAATCCTCACCATTGTCCACGTAGCTGATAGTGTTAAGTGAATGGACCCGGCTGCACACAACACTGTTTTGCCTATGTAGCATCCCACGCCGTCCTCCACGTCCGTTCTTGTTGCTGCCTTCTTGCCCGGCAGGCTGCTGAGGCAGATTCACCTCACCGTCCATTTCGGCTGCAGCTCCTCCCTCGGACGCAGACTTCAGCTCCACACAGAACTCGATAAAGCCGCTCATTAGCTCTGCCTGATTGACAGAAAAATAAAAATACAAATGATTAAGTCTGAAGTATACATAATAAACAGCTGTACTTTATGATGGTCCATTAGCCTTGGATTAGGGCCTGGTGCGATTATGTGGCACTGCCTCTATGTTACATAATAATATCTCTTCACCATCTGGTAGCTGACACAATCCTTTTCAACCCAACAATCACTGAGCAAGGAGAGCACCAAAAAATATTTAAAATCTATTAGGTTTCAACACTAATATCAAGTGTTATGCTCCTTTGAGAACAAATAGGCACAGCAGCTGCACCTGATTCTGAAGCCTTCAAAAACACCAGATGCACTGTGCTCTCTAGAGATGGCTGCAAGTCCTCATTTGAAGCGAGACACACATAGCAAGACTACATCTGTCACCTTCTCCAGTGGCAAGACGTCCTCAAATTGATGTTCAAACTACAGCAGAGATCAACCACGACAGGTGTGACCCAAAAACAGCCAAAAAACACTCAACAGTTCAGAGGCAGTCTAAAGCCACAGCATACCTGATGGTTGATGGCACTCAACCATACAGACACTAATGTATGTGCAGGTGTTAAACATAAGCCTATCAGGTGATTTCGAGGATTTCATTTCACAAACATGGTCTTACTTGTTTTGAGTAGATCTTTAGCAACTTGTTGACAGGAGTGCCGTCTTCCTCTCCATCGAACTCCAGCCACAGAATGTGCGAGTCCCCCTCCTCCTCAGGGTAGCTGTGGTCCCAGGAAAGCTCATTGAAACGCAGGCCAAGTAGCACATGCTGCAAGAAAATGTGTTTGACAAGAGAAATCAGGGTAGTTTTCATGAAGAGGAATGAAAACTGCTCTCAGCATTTCTGCATAATTATCCACGTATGCACGCGCGCGCACACACACACAGTGAGAAAGGTGGAATTGTGTCGTTACAGACCTTCTCTTTGACATCCATCACATAAACCCCCTCCAGGCAGATCCCAACGCTGACAGCTTTGCGTTTTCCCCTTTGAAGAATCCCTTGCGCTGGTTTGTCAATCTCCCCCAGGAAGAAAGCACACCTGTTTGTGTAGTTAAAGTAAAATAAAACATAATAAATATGAAGTGATTTGAGGTATGTAAATTACTTGAGGTAAACTCAACTTTTGTGGAGTAAAAACGGCTCATTACACAAATTCTTACCCATAATAAGGCAGATTGTGACATGTATTGAGGTACTGGTGTAGGAGCTGTGTGGGCTCAGGAGACTTTCCAGCAGATGTGCTGATCTTTCTGTACGCCTCCAACAGTTTCTGCTCCAGCCCTGCCTGACGGCTCGACTTCCCTCTCAGAGTGGAGAACAAACCTCCACTCCCCATGGCAGCATGCGCAGGCAGAAAAGAAGATAGCTTCTTCTCTCTGTAAAAAGCAGATCAGACAAGTCTTTATTGCATTTAGTGCATCTTATCTGTGTTCTAGGCTCAATTCACAATTCTTTTGTTACCATTTACTGTGTAATCTCATATTGTCTGTTGCTTTGGTCGTTCTGTCTTTATGACTACTGTACTGTGGAACTGGTTTCCATTGCAATACTTTTTTCCTTAAATATTCTGTTTTCTTCACTCAGTGAAGATTTTTTACTATTTGTTTCTCTCCTTGCTCATCCCATTTAAATGGAGTTTCAACCTTCTTTCCTCAATTATTACTCATGATACAAAAAAATCTTGTTAAGTCGTACAGCTTTTGTTCCTCAGTGTCATACGTCACCAGATGATCACATACAGATCCTCTGAAAATAACCTTTTGGTCCTAAATATAAACTGCAACCAGTAATGATAATAAAAAGCACAATTGCTTCAGTGGTAATCAAGATTAGCCAGCTATATATATTCAATAGTTGTGTTTTTCTCCTCTTCAATGGAGAAAAGAGAGAGAGTTGACTTCTTCCTGTGTTGGGAAAGCTAACATTATGCCAAGTGATTTATGAACTTTAGGAATTAAGTCCTAATGTTCATTTTGATGGAGCACAGACCTTGAATTGTCTATTTTGTTTTAACAATTATTAACCACCAAATAAAATAAGATACTGTGACACAGTTTTAGATGCCACAGACGCAAACATTTCTAAAATACAGTACACAAGGAAACATGAGACTTCCTCATAAATACATAAATATCAATTCAGAAGTGCGTTACAACTAACTGCAGGCACCCTGTAACATGCATACTACTACGGACTACTACATTCCTTTAGTATTGCAATAATAAAATGGTCTTTAATTACAATCAAGTCTCAAAAGCCTTTACAAAGAAAAAATGACAGAGTCTCGCATGATCGTCCCACTCCAATCAAAAATGTCATTTTGTGCATTCTTTTACTGGGCACTTACAAAGCAACAAGCAACTGGAAAGTACTGCTGTGGCACAATGTGAGTGTTATTAACATATGAAAAAATCAAAGTCCCATCTAACAAAAGAAGCACTGTTGACCTTTTTCACAATGCCTGTGGATTTTCATCCCATTACAACACATTGTCACTGATTGTGCCAAAGTACTTAAAGCTACTCCATCTCCCAGCTGCCCTTTACAACATGTGGGTTGAGGGACATGAGTTTGGTTGTGCTTATTTTTGTGTCGTTTCTGTCTAGTGCATTAGGCTGAAGCGAGGCGTCTTTCACCATGTGACAAAATAAAGAGCAGGGGCACAAATTTTTTAAAATGGCAAACTAAAACCAAGTCAACTGTGAAATGTTCATTTAAGCAAGTGCTGGAGCTAAAGAACAGAAAGTCACGTGGAATTATGTGTTATCTGAAAAAAAAATGTTGACTATCTTACCAGAAAATGGCACACAATTAAAAATGTCTGTATGAAAACCAGGGTGGTCTAACACTCAGAGAGAAAGCGAGTACGCCCATTTCCTATAATATATGACACTATTCCTATAAGAGAAGGGTCAACATTGCGATCATCAATACAAAAATAGAAAAGCCCTTAAAACCCAAATCCAGAATCTGATCAAACATTTTTTAACCAACCTTCAGAACTTACCTTATAATAGCAGTAAACTGTTCACCGTCAAGACCAGTTCCCTCATCAAGAGCAAAAGACAAGGCGCCGAGTCCCATCCAGTGTTCGGGGTCGCAGGGGTATCGACCTGTGAGGATGTTGCTCCTGGCCTCCTCATACAGAAGCCTCAGCACGGCCTCATCACCGATCTGCCCAGGAGTGAGACAATGACGATGACTATTTCATACAAGCAAAAATCCTAATTGGTTTACAACATGTTGGGACTTCAAGAACCCAGCAATGGATAACAATGTCTTCATAAATCAGAGTTCACAGTACCTGCAGCTCTTTAGATTTAGGATAAAACACATTCCGACGGAACTGGAGATATGGTTCATCTGAGGAAAAAGCAGAGAATAACGATGCATTAGGGTCAGGCGACCATCCATATTCTCAGTGTGTCAATCGTCACTGGGTAAGATTCCACCCCACCGCCCAGGGTGGAGGAGTGAGGGTATAGAAACAAACACTGTGGTAGACGTATAGGTATCTAACACTCAAACCCCCTCCAACCCACTGTGCTCCAACACATCGTCTGGAATGTGGGGGGAAGCCAATCTACTCCAAAAAAACATAAAGGCATTTGATGTTTTGGTTTTATTAGTGGTAAGTTGTATTTTCTTATTTTTGGTAATGCACTTTGCAGCAGTGTCACCAGTTCTTCTACAAGGACCCGCGACACCACAAACAAACAAGTGTGTGTGGGCTGTTCGTACTTTGACTGTCAAAGTAATGACAAATAACACCAGACTTTGAGTCAGTGCCTGACACCTCATCTTACAGCTTATTAAAAAAGTCCATCATGGGGAACAATTTTGACAGAGCAACAACCAACAGTTGACCAATATTTCTACATACTTGGTCCAAAGCTGAACTTCAGGATGCATTTTTACACTGTGGATTTTGTCCCCCATCAGTTACATTGTGTTACTACTACTACTACTACTACTACTACGCCAACTCCCTCCTTTTCCTTTAATTTATTCCAAACAAACCTGACAGCACTTTTAACTTTATTTACCCCCAGTAAGCTACTAAGCAACAACAAGTTATAAGTAAACTATAAATCCTCAGGGAACAGCTGCAGAGAACTGGCTGTGCTTGGCATACAGACGAATATTGTGTTGAGACACCGGCTTGAGGCGGAACATTAGAGAATGCATTTACTGTACTTACACTGTGATAACGGACTGCAATAACTAGAGATGTTCCGATACCACTTTTTCTTTCCTGATACCTGAACTTTGCACATCAATCAACATATATTTCAATATATTTTTGAACCAAAGCTGGCATATAGTATTTTATGTGTTTTAATAAATACAGTTCTTCATGGTGCAGACTGAAGAGGATGTAGCCTTTTTTGTTGTTCTTTTTGGTTGGTGGTTTTAAATTGAGGGCGTGGTCAGGGGACTGTAGTCATAGAACCGTACTTTATCTTATTATATAACAATTCTTACAGATAATCTACTGTTCAGCTGTGGAAACGACATACAGTTTATAAACTTATTTCATTTTTATTCTGACTCTGGATTTATGGTACACAAGCAATGATCTTTTCCTTTCATTGCTTTGCCCTGCAATCACTGCGCTCCCAGCCCAGAGTGCTCTTGAAGAGAAATCTTGCTTTATAAACCAAGTCCTCTAATCCTTAACTTGATTAAATAAACCCGGTTTCTTGTTTAGACAACTTCCCAAAAAAAAACATTGCTTATTCCGGACTCCAAACAAACTTGTGGTTTACTTAGACCATGTAAACACACTGACATACAGTTCAAACTCTCACCTTGGGAAATGTCTTCCTCTGAGGCTTCAGTGAAGCGATACAGCAGGTCCTGCCACTGCCGGCACAGTTTGTATGGTTGATGCCTTGCCTTTAACTGCAAATCTGAGGAGCAATGAGGAGGCAGATGTAACACAGTGAGATGTGTCTGTATTCCTGCTCTCATTCTTGTGCCATTTGTTATTGTGATACTGGAGCTGCTTACACTGAAGTGAGGTCCTAAAGAGTAATATGGCCATAAATTAAACAAACTGTACAGAACTTGTTTGTACCATTTTATTCCCAATTCAAGCAGTACTGTACTGTGTAAAGGCTATATGATTTAGGCTTGTCTGGGCACTATCCTGCCTAACATCCTACCAAAAATATAACACATTATACATCCAATATTTTATAAGCAGACAATGATATATTTTGAAGAAAGAAGCATCCATATACAGATAAGCATTTTCATATCATAGCTCTCACAGATGAGTCAGGAAAAAGTTCTTACCGAGCAGTGGAGAACAAAGCCAGAAGGCAAAAGCATCCTGTGCAGACTCAGGAATATGGAGAGCCTCGCGAACACTGCGGCCCAACTCCTGCACATTGACACTGCCAAGGCCTTCTACTGTTAGGTGTACTGCGCTCTCACCAAACAGGTATATAAGCACATCTTGAGCTGTGTGAAGATATACAAATAATCAAAATGAAGCAAATAAAATGACAAGGATAAGTAAGCCAAAGAGTTCCACTTTTAAATGTAAAGTTAAATTGCTACAAATAAAAATAAAGCACATTAAAAAACACAAGGGAGCGATTTTATCCTTTATGAGTTATATATTTGCGGCACTGTACCACGGGAAAGTGTTGCAGAGGAAGCAACACTTCCTCTTTGCGAGTGATCATCTGATGAATCTAGAGGAAAACTGCAGTCATCTCCTTCCATCTCTAATCTGAAACAACCAAACACAAAATCAGTCACAATGCACACACAGCAACGTAACATGAACATACAACACACTTTAGAAAAGTCTGTATGCCTGGACTGGAAATGTAGTCCAGAGCAGTATTAATGTGTCAATATCAAGCATTAAAGCTGATATATATTTAGAGTAGATGAACAAATGCCAACATGGGTAGCACATCTGCAGCTCCCTGCTATCTAGCCCTGCAGTTGAGAATTACACACACTTACCTGTCTGATGTGGGATTTAGGATATGGAGGGACCCCTTTGATCTACATGAGTGACAGGATGGGACACCTACCAAAGTGTGGTATTTTGTCAACATGGAACTTCCTGATTTTTTCTATGCACAGCTGGCTAACAGAAGTGGTGTATGTGGCTCTCATACTAACATTAGTCTCACATGCCTTGAAATAAACATCTAGTTACTGCTTCAGAGACGACTGGAGGGATATTAGCAATATTAGTGGGTGGGTCTTACTCACTGACAGGGGCCACCTCATCCACATCCTTTAGTCATGTTTCAATAAACAAGCAGCTAATCAAGCTAATTTAGCTCATGTCTCGATATGCACCAGCGCCACCATGTGGTATTGGACTGGAAAAGACCCAACACAATCAGAACATCGACCTCACCCTGTTTAACTTGAATTACTGTTTGGCCCCAACATGTCACTGTTATTCAGCCCCGGTTATAATGTCTTCAATAAGGCCTCTTACATTGGTACAACAGCCCAAATACAGGAGGACGTAAATACAGAGACATAACTGATATACCCCGAGGCCTGTGGGACAAGGGTTAGCCAGCTAGCCAAGTTGAAGTGGATTGTACTATAACGTTACATCCCCAAACAAACCCAAAACAATGGCTGAAATATTCCAGGGAACAATTCAACGACACATTTCATTAGGCTAGCTGATAATACAAGGGGAAGCGACTGTGTTAGCTGTTGACCTATTGGAGATTGTCTCTAAATATTAGTGAGATACTTTGAGATATAAAGTTATAACAATACACGTCAAGTCATCAGTTGACAACGATTTGGTCACTTCACGCTAAGTGGTTAGTTAGCTTAGCTTCCTATTGGTGCCCTACAGTCTGACATACTGTTGGTAACAAGTGAAGGAACAAATGTCTCTGTTGTCCACCTACCCGCCAGTTCTGGTCAATTTTCCTCCGCTTGCTGCTAATGCTCTAGCTGGGATTGTGTAAATACGGCAGCTAAACACATTAGCTAGTCAACGATTCGCTGTTATTCCCCTGGCTACGGCTAGCCACTTGTCAACTAGCTTTCCGGGCAGCTGCAACAGTGTGATCGGCGAATGATTCGCTTATTCTGAACCACTCTCTATTGGGTGTGTCGGTCCCTCTGGAGGGTTTCAAACACCACTTTAAATGAGGTAGTCGTGAATAGAGTAGCTATAAAAAACAGCTTAGAGCTAATTCTGTGTTTTCTGTTCACGTGAAAGAACACTGACTGACAGACTCTGTGTGTTTTCAACACTTTACACGGGACAGGTTCAAAAAGGTCGGATCCTGAGAATGACTCTAAAAATGAGTTGAATACCGGAGAGCGGGTCGTCGACACACCACATGACCAGGACGTCGCCGCATCTGTAACTCCTCAGGCAGCAGATTAAATGTATTAAATGTAGTTTGCAGCCAATGTTCAAACATGTTTTTAAATAGAATTTGACTATCAGATTGTCATTGAACTGTGGAATAACAAAATGTTCCCCATTAAACATGTACTGCACTGTAAAACTGTAATACACATTAGTCCAGTGATTCCTCTTTCTTTCCTCCCCTTTTCTATCATTGAGAAAACTGGTGAGTGGTATATTTTGTGTAGTTTATGTAAAACAACTGATTTGGATTAATTTTGGGCAGATTATTTCCTGTGAATATTAAGCAGAGATTACTTTCTCTGATATATTTTGGATCATGTTATACAATTGTCTGTCTGTAATACTTATATATATACAAATTTGTATTTATATAAATATATAATATTCCTATAATTTTTAACAATCATACATATAACAATTAACAGGCTTATTTTTTGACAGACTGGTTGTTTTCTAAAGCAGGACAAGGCCGTTCATCAGAAGACTCACTTAGAATATTAACTGTGTTCATCTTAAATAATAATCTAAACTTTAAAAATAACATTTTCATTTACTTTTCTTCACAGAAACAAACCAAATTCTGAGATATAGGCCAACTGTTTGTTATGTTCTGTTATGTCCTCCAGGGGGATAAACATATCATATAACTCTTATGCAATCAATTACAGCAACAAGCAAAGTGTGTTGTAAGTTACAGCCTCACCATGAATCAAAACTGTACAATATACTTCACAAAAGTTATATTTATTGCACGGCTCTGACTTACAGTAGGTTTGATATTGGTCAATTTGTGTATAGTGATTGACAGGTTTATAACCTGCCACCATATGCAAATATTATCTAGCCTAATGAATAAAACTCATTTGGTGTTACAAACAAAAGTAATAAATGACTCACACTGAACAATATACAATGTAAAACCAAATTATGTAAATATTGGACATCTAGTGGTGAGCATAAACAATTGACCTTCAGGAAAAGACAAGATAATGCATCAATAACAGCATATAGTGACAGAGAATAAAGATATTAGCCCATTTTCATTATCACAATTGCATTACAGATTGGAGATTTTGCATTAAGAATACATTGGGAGCCTCTGAGATCTTTACTGGTGATTCTAGACCCAAATATGTTAAATTCAACACTACAGAATTTTGAGTTTGTCTGTTTTTATAGGTAGAAGGGGCCCAAGAAAATTATTCAAGACACAGTAAATGATTTTAAAATGACCTTCTATAAAGCTATTCACATGGCATGATAAGAGAGTGTGGAATAATTCTCTTTCATATTCTTGGGGCTTGGTTAAAAACATTTACACTGTATCCGTAATTGAAAAGTTATATCTCAATGCTATTATTTTGTTGATATTTAGATTTTTATAAGCAAACAAGGCCTCTGCATAGTTCAGTGTGCATCTTTACATCCACCTGACGCAGGTGTTTAACTGCAAGGGCAGCAGGCTGAGTATTAACAAATGGGATTAAAAGCTTTCACAAATGTGTCAGAACAGAGGACACACTTGATGGCTTTCACTGCATTACTGACATCGATTAATCAGACTTAATAATCCTATTGCTTTCACTGACAGGGAGAAGAGATGCAGGGAGAAATTAGCAAGTTGGAGCCCCTGTTAGGAGGGTGATACCTGATGTGTGAAGTAATGTTTGTATGTACTGTAATTGCATTAGAAAAGAAGCAATAAGTGACACCACTCCAATTAGTAAATTCAAACTTTAATAGGTCGTTATATTATGTCATAGTCCTGTTGCGCAGCAGAGCATGCCTCGTGTCTCTCTACAGTCAGCTTTACATCCTTGTTTTTGTAAGACCAAAAGTAATTTTTGTACTCTCCTTCGTGAATTACTGTTTACTCAGTGACCGATGGTGATTTTTTTTTTTTAATTGCTTTTGATTAAGACTCGTGAGAATGCAATTACCAATGCACTTTCAAAAGCAATGAAGTGATTTTGTGTATTTGTGGTAACGTAAACAAATACAACAATGAATGGTTAATGATTCATGTTAATAACAGGGAAAAAATATAAAAAATAAAGAATGTGTTCAGTGATTTTATACATATTGTTCATTTTAGGTTTTGACAAATATCTCAAAAACAGTAGTAATCATGGGTTTACAATATTACAGTATCTTTTCGGATACATATTTTCATATGGTATGAGGTTAACAGAGGTGGAATCAGTTCAGTATATTGAATTTGAATGGGAAAGTACAGTAATATAGTGTGATGGTCATCTGACAATAAAAAACACTATCCCTAAATCTGTGAAATTCATAGAAATGTGTAATTAACACTCTGTTTTCAAATTTAAATAATCATTTATTAGTTGCCCTCTGTGTGTAAAAATTATTTACATGTGTGTACATCATTTGTAGTTTAGGCGGTAGCTGGGGCAGGAGCTGGGGTGCCCTCTTCCACCTGGTTTGTAAGCAGGAGGAAATTCAGCACGGGGTTGAGGTACTCCATGATGGTCTCTTTCACCCCTTTCTCCAGCAAGTACCCTTCTGTCTCAATCTCTGTGTTTTCATTCCCTTCCAGTGCCTCCATGGAGGTCTGCAGGAACCGCAGGCTCACCAGCACAGAGCCCTGGGAGGGAGGAAGGTGGAGAAATGGGGGAGCGAGTTAGATGTAGAACAGATTCTATTAGAGAGCAACATCAAGGATCCATAGACTACCATACTGTGATTGAAGGAAAATTGTGCACATCGGACACAACAAATGAATGACGAATCAATTGATGTTCACTCTCAATTAAGTCAGGATTCTTATTAATGAAATCTTTGAATTGTTCAACTCCTTGTGTACGCTTGCTTTATATACAGAATGGTGGGATATCGCAGCACAGTTTTCATGTGCTTGTAAAGCCATGACACAATGTTAAATGTAGTGTAGTTATAAAACCGCTCTAATTCTTCTCATAGCATAGCTATAAGTGGGGCTGTGTAATGGCAAGAATTTGGCAATACGATAAGTATCATGATACGGGGGTTACAATTACAATATTGTGTGATATATTGCGATACTGTAAGCAAGGCGATAGATTGCAATCTTTTTCTAAATCGAATTTTATGAATACATATATAAAGAACACACAACCATATGCATCTGAGTTAAACTACATTTTCCAACAAGCAGGGAGAATTGATCACAAAAAAAAATATCACGACACTCAAGTCGATATTTTCTTACACCCCTACCTGTAAGAGGAAGACTGACAGTACTCCAGCACCAATGGTGTTCATCAGGCCCATGTAGTAGTTGACCAGGGCCTCTCTGCAGCCTCGGAGGTAGATGTTGAGCTCCTCAGTCTGGTAGTCATAGTTATAGTGAGCCGAGTTGTTGGTGAGCTGATACTGGATGCATGGCCGTGGAGAGCTGGGGTTGCAGCAACTGAATGGGACTCCATCAACCAAGTAACGGCCATCCACGTTGCTCTTGATGCGACTAATGAAAGAAGGAGAAGATATGTTTCGCACTAATAACATGTTTCTTTATAACTGTTCATCTGCACTGTAATCATGTGTCAACTTACTCTTTAACCTCCTTAGAGCTGAAATCAAGGTAGCGGTTGCTGATCCACTGGACCTCAAACCAGTCCGTGAAGTCAGTGTTTCCACAGCACTGAAACTCCATCTGCATGCGATCGATGTTCTGTTTCTGGAAGCAGCGGCCTGGGGTGTCTGTGTCCTTGTAGAAGCGGATGCCGTTTCTCAGGCCAACCTTCAGAGAAGACTCCAGACTGCCCTTCATTGCATAGCTCATGATGACAGCTAGCAGCATGAGGACGGTGAAGAAACAAGAGACGGCAAAATAGGGCTTCAAGAAGTTCTTCCAGCGAGGAAATTTCCCAGCATCCAAAGCATCCTGACAGATCTTTGAAGCAAAGTAGTTGATACCCAAGGAGGCCAGACCAACAATCATGAGGGTATTGGGCACGATATGTATGTCTGAGTTATCCATGACCTGTAAGTAAGTCACACAAACCAATCATTAAACAGCTGTTATTTGCTGGTAATGAGTAAAATATCCAGACCTGGCTGCAATTATAGATATATTGTGCCTCATTTTATAAACATATCAAACTTCAGCCTGACTTTAAAATCTTGAATTTAAATTTCACTGGGTTTGTAAATGTGCATTTAATGTGTCTTAAACACACGTATGAATATATCATCTCCTGTGCGTGTGAATTAATGTGAGGGTGGGATCATGAGGATAGAAGTAGATCCTGAGAGTCTGTCACATGATCTTTTTTTCATGTTTTTTGTCTTCCTTGTTTTGGAATATTTAGCTTTTTATATATGCATCTGTTATCTTCTATCGTTATTAGATGTACATGTTACTTTGTTTGCTATCGTTTGTGTGATTTTTCTTAAGGAATCAAACTATTAAAAGCATGATTAAAAATGTTCTCTGGGTTTGAACAATGTTTGACCTCCCGATGTGTGTGCTGATGAACTCTTGAAGATTCAAAAGATTCAAGAGTTCAACCTTTATTTATAAAGGGGAGTTCTCCTAAATGCACGTATAATGATTTTAATCATCAGCATTACAGTCAGTGAGCTTCTTATCAGAGTCTACTGAGCAGCTCACTTCAAGCCGTTGAGGCTCAGCTGTGTTGCTCAAGGGCACCTACAGTGACTGCAGTTGCTGAAGAAGGGTAGGGCACATGTCATCCACACGCGCAGTCCAGATTTCACCCACATAATTAAAAAAATAAATTTAGACAAACAAGTAAATAAACCTAAAGATATGAAAACCCAGTTATGACAGGCCTCCTGTTAATGTAGAATTGCTCAGTGAGATTATACAATATGAGACTCTATATTGTGTGCAAAAGAAAACTAGCATATTCCACTGGTTTCTGCAGAGGGCCTTCGCACAAGCCAGAAATCTCACGCAAAGAGACATCTGGTTGATTTAAGCAAAGGGGAAATTCAATGGTTGAACAAGTGTGCATGGGAGGACAGTATTGCACAGAATCCGGTGGACATTTATGCATGCTTTACATTCAATTACATTGATTACATTGATTTTCCTTCAGTGCAAAAATAATGGCATAAAAAATCAATGTGAAATACATAGTGACGTGGCATGCTAACCTTTGTAAACCTCATAGATTCTGTAATGTATTTATTAACTAATTCTGTGTCTTTCATTAATTTTTTTTATTTTCCTATTCATATTATGTATGTATCTATTTATACTTTTATACCGCCATGCAAACAGGCTGAAAATGGGCCTTTTTTTGTCACAAAATTCTTGTAATTTAAAATAGATATTAAGATACTTTTAAAAATACTATAAATAGTGTAAATAACATTGTAGTAGCTGTTATGTAGTTGTGCTAATAAATTAATTATGAATCCATTTAAATGTGTACATTCAAATAAGCTGTAAACTATGTAGGTTTGTTTATAATGCAAAGTTGTGATGACAGTCCTCAGAAGTAGGGATTAGGGTGATTAAGACAGACAGAGCCTGGTTTATTAAATGACGAGTCAGGATCCAAAGTGGGTCACAGGTGTATCAACCTCTTGTTGGTCTCCAATTAACAAAGACATTTCTTTGACGGTATCAGATTTAATTTCCTTACAGGTACTTTATCCCATTTTTAAATTTTCTTCTGAAAATATGCACACACTTTAAAAGTAAGAAAAAGTAAGTAAGTGTTCTTGATGTTATTCGTGTAAATCAGTGCATTAGTGTGAAATCAACTGTATCACCTTACAACGTCCACATATTTTCCAACAATATCCCTCAGTGTAAATATTTACTGTGTGTGTGTGTGTGTGTGTGTGTGTGTGTGTGTGTGTGTGTGTGTGTATCTGTCTCTGTCACAAATATAATCAGACCAAAGGCAACAAGGCGTATTGATTTTCTTCCCACTATAAACTCAGTTGAACAGTGTATAGATACACTGAGAAACATCATTATATGTCACTTCCATTTGCAATTTAACTATAGTAATTACACTGTTGATTACTGTAAATTGTTTTTTTAAAAAACAGTCAAAAACAACAAAGTTTTGTAATAATTAAGTTGTTTTTATCTGAATACATACTTTATCTCATGAAGTCTTAACATGTAAAACTTGAAAAGTACCTCTGCCCTCCTGCGGAGCTCTGTCTTTAGGATGCACCCCAGACTGAAGGTCATAGCTCCGGCCACTGTGGCACTCCAGGAGAGGAGCCACAGTCCTTGGGCCAGCTTCACCCTTTTCTCAAAGGGGAACTTCATCTTCATCACCACCATGATTGCAAACGAGGGAACCAGGAGTCTTACCGGGGGAATAGGGGAAGGAGAACGACGAGGCAACGAGGGACGATGCTGTGATTTGTCTGCGAGGAAGAAGAAGAGGGGAGAGGCATGACTCTGAAGGCTTAGAGATAAAGATGGCCAAACTGAAATTCAACACTGAATCTGAAAAATAAACCAGTGGCAACAGAGCAAGCACAATTATAAACACACTGATAATAGCTCTGTTAGAACAAACTTTTATCTGACAATAAAAAGTCAGAATGCGCAAAATCCTTAATCCTAGAATAAAGTTGTAGAGCTCCACATCTCAAGAGGTGCATCTCCAGTTGAACAGATGACGTCAAAGCTCACCTTATTTGTCTCCCCAAAAAGTTCTGAAAAAAAGTCCAGATATCTCCACCGACCACTATGTGCCGTCCAGTGTGCCACACAGTGGATTTGGCACACTGGATTTGGCAAACCTGGATGCTGGGAGCGTCTTACCTCTAATGCCTACCTATCCTATTAAACTGGTCTGTGAATCCAGGCCATTGTCTGCTCAGCACCCATCACTCATACAGCGGGACATGCATGACAAAACAAATTGGACCTGACAGGCAGATGGATATTATTATAAGGCATTAACTGCGTAACACTTATCCTCATGCATAACTACAAATGCACACATGAACTGGAACACAACTGAGATCTGAAGGAAATCTGAAATGAGATACAGTATTTATTCAGATAACAACAAGATTTCAATAAACATTATTTATTTTCCTTTTCTGGTTCTTATAATGATGAGTAAAGGAAGACTTCAAAGTAAAAGAAAAAAAACAATGTCTATGGTGAGCGAAATAAATCCACATTGATGAAATTTATTTATATTTTATAACTATGAAGAGTACAGAGGGATTAATCTAACTTTTTCTTTGGTGCCAATATGCTGATCATGAGGTTGAGCTGTGTGCGAATGGGTTTTCAGTTTCAGTCAGAATCTAGACAGCAAGAAGAGCCTTTTTCTGACACCCTCAAACTGGTACTACCTCACCTTTTTATACAAACCCCAACCGGGTAGGAGCCATCATTTCATATTCTTCCTGTTTATTCAGGTCAGGGTCACAACAGGGCAGCTTCCTTTAGCCTCCAAAGCACTCTGATGCCAGCTGGGTGATGTAGTCCATGACCTGCATCTGAAGTAAGCACCAAACATACACAGCAAGCATTCTGTTGTAATATTTAGTTCGTACAAGTCTACAGCCATGCTAGTGGCTCTGTGAGCTTGTACTTAGACACAACAGTGCTTTGAGCTAAATGCTGACTTTATAAATGCTAACACGTCCATGATGACAGTCCTAACATGCTGATGTATAATTAGAAGGTATAATCACCACCACCTTAGTTTAGCATGTGTGCATGCTAACATTAGTTAGCACTTAACACAAAGTACAGCTGGGGGTGATGGAAATGTCATATGATTTTGTGGGTGTTTGGTCATAAAGTAAGTTATGGGATCACAAATCATCCTGAGTGGAACATGAATGTCTGTATCATTGACAGTATATGTATAGGCCTATAACATTTCATGGGAATCCAATAGTTGTTTAGACGTTTCAATCTTAACCACAAACATCAACCTCACAGTGGCACTACAGGTAAAGTCAGGGTCTTCCCAGTAACATTAGGATGCATCCACCATGAATGTCTGTACAGGAATTCATGGCATTCAATTTTCCAATAGTTAATATTTCAATCTTGACCAAAGATGGCCCAGACTGATTGACTGACTGTGAGACTGACAGAGCCATCCATAGAGCCATACAGCACTAATGTGGCTATAAAATACTTTGAGTGATGTATTAATTGTCACAGGGGCATGGTTTTTGTTTTGAATAATGATTGCTCAGTGCATTATGAATTGTTGTATTTTAATGTTGTAATGTTGTAATTCCATTGCTATGTTCCTGTCCATTGTGCAGTTCCATAAAGCACATGCATAAAAGAGTAGCCAACTCCTTGTCAACATAGGATCAACACCTTGAATAACTGTGAAACAGCAAAGAGTCTGAGCACTGCTCTGAAACCTGGATAAAATCCAGGCCTGACATACAGAGCTACAATCTCAATGACCTCCTTAAAGGAGATGGGCTTAGACTTTCCAGACTCAGTTCAGTCAGCCTGCTAAACAAGTTGCATGTCTAGTCACGTCAACTATATTTATATAGCCTGTCATAAAAAAAAACACCTGGTAAATTTAGTTCAGCAGTATCTCCTCCTCTTTCTAACAATGTCCCTATTCAGTTTGTCTGTCATTCAGCTGAACTTTACAGATGTTACTAAACTTAAAGCAACTCCTCCTTTGAAATATCTTTCTATATATTTATTAATTTTCAAGGAAAGTGGATCAGATATAAAACCAATGTAGACAGTTGAAATTATGACCAATTGTAGTTTATTAGATTAGAGTTAACATGGATAAGATTTACACAAGCTTGAATAATGTGTTCAGTTACAAGCATTTATTTTGTCAGGGTCAACATTGTAACCAGCGGAAAAAGATGTTTTACACAAAGATAGAATAATACTTTAGCATATACACATAGGCCAAATTAAAGCTATTTCATTACTGTATTTATAAGCACACATTAAGTTATGTAATACACTAAGTCTACTAAGACTACTTAACAGGGAAACACTGAGGGTTTTAGATTGTGCTTAACACTTGAAATATATAGCATTAAACAATGCATTCAATAACTTATAATTGTGGCTACTTAGTACCTACACCAGAAGTACACCTAATAAAGATACATAATGTTTCATGCAATAAAGCAAACAGATGGACAGAATTACTACTTTTTCCACTCTGCTGAGATGAAAGAACAGGAAAGCAAATGCCTATATCTGCAATTATACAGCAAAAATATACATTTACATTTCGCCATTACATAAGATGTAGAGGAAGTAGTCAGAAACAGTATAAAGTATATATAACATAAAACAAACATTAAAACAAATACATATATCATTCATCTGCCTTTCATTCCACTTGGCAAATGGTTGTATTGATCTCATTATTTAAAGGTTTAGTTAAAACAGCGAATGTGTGTTGACTGTATGTAATACAATTATTCATGAGAGTAGATTTTTATTGAAAAACAATTGAGGGAGCCCTGTGTGCTGTCTGAGCAGTGTTAGATAGAGACAGGCTATCAAAGTAAATCCTGTATGTCTTACAGTTTGAATTCAAAGGTTACGCCTCCTCAAGTCACATGTTAATTAGAAGGGCTGAACCATTGAATTTCCGAGTTAATTAAGATTAAAGTAAATTATGATTTCAGACACAGTGCACTCACAGCTGTGTGCGCTCCCCTTTCAACACCTCGTCTGGAATCCCTCCTGTCCAGCCATGCACCTCAGCCCTGCCCTGACCTTTTCCTTCACCAGGCTGCGGTTCACAAATGAAGTGGTTGAGCATCCTCTCGGCTGACTGCAGGCTGGCCAGGCTGCTATCTGCCTCTGACATTCGGCTTTCTATTGGCCTCCCAATAGCTGCATCCCTGTCATTGCTCGCTCTCCAGTGATGAATGATCTCATTATCTAAATCCTCAATGGCCTCGTCCCCTCGGTGGTGGAGGTCCATCATGGCCTCCGTGCCTCTTAGCTCTTTCTGCATGTGATGGCGTGCCAGAGGGATTTCCTCCAGGCTAGCGGACCGGATCAGGATGGCAGAGCCAACAGTTGGACTTTTGGTGATCCTGTAAGTGCCCTCACCTGTCATACCATCAGACATATTCTCATTGTGGAGGGTGAACTGGAGATGAGGTATCTGCAGTGGGCATGGAGAGTGTCGTCTGACAATTTCCTCACCCCCTGACTCGCTGTCTTTGTCCATGTCGCCTTCCTGGTGTCGCCATGCGTGTCCTCTGTTTAATCCTGTCAGTATAAATCGTGGGGTCTCTTCTCCCACCTCTGACCAGTCAGATTCCTCCTCCTCTGGAACTGAACCTAGACACTGCTCCTGCCCGCCAGCTTTGGCCTTTCCATAGTCATGGCTGTCCATGAACTGAGCCGGAGGGGGAGCGATGGGGAGAACCACCTGATTAATGGCATCATCTGACTGAAAATGTTGGTCGGTTTTATGTAGCAGTGATGTTACCTACAGTAAGTAGAAGTTACAAATTGATCAATTCATTGATTAAATTATGCAAAGTCAAGTAGGTGCACTACACAGTCTCACAGAGGCTTTTGTATGGCATTTGTATTTCTTGGTCTGTCTATTCTTGCTCATAGTGGCAAACAGAAATAAGAAATACCAGAATATTTTTCAGTCATGGTGGCAGTGCCCTTTTCCAGCCTTCCTCCCCTGCCTCTGAACATGTTTGTGAAGCCACTGTCTGCCTGGAATTTAAAATGGAGGTAAAGATCTTACATTGAATGTTTCCACACTGTTGGCAAATTTTGCATCGGCAAGCTTCTCCGTCAGTGTTGAAATACGCCAGTTCAGCCTCTCACGTTCTCCTTCCATACTCTGAGCCTGACACAGAAACAAAAAGCACAGTTAACACAGATAAACCCTCAGTGAGTGGGAGACTGGTGTCAAGATCCCTCCCAAGAGTTTGACTGCTGAGTCAATCTTAATAATTTAGTAGAAAAAGGCTCCTACATGTCTCAAAAAACCTTTTTCTATTTTCATGTTTCTAATACTTTAGGCTCAAGCACAAGAAACATACACGATCAAACTCACCACTGAATGAAGCTTTTGTTCAAGAAGACTGTTAGTCTGTTGTGTGGAGGAGCAGTTTCCATGTAGTCTGAAGTTAAGCACAAACAGAGAGAAAGAGAAAAGTTACTCAACAATAGTACATATGTTGCAGTACCCATGAAATATCCCATATTGTATGAGATTAAAAGTCCAGTGTGTAACATTTAGGAGAATCTATTGGCAGAAATTGAATATAATATTCATAGGTATGTTTTCGATAGTGTATAATCACCTGAAAATAGGAATTGTTGTGTTTTTGTTACCAGAATAAGTTGTTTATATCTACAGAGGGAGTGGGTCATTTTCTATGGAAGGCACCATATTGAACCATCATGTTTCTACAGTAGCCCATAAAGGACAATCCAAACACTGGCTCTGGATAGGGCTGTAGTTTCTCCCACATGCTTGGAACTGGGTAAGACGAGGAGTTTGCAATCGGCAACTATGCCACTAGATGCCACTAAATGCTACATTCTGGACCTTTAAGTACTATAACTATGCATCATTTGCAACTTAGTTCTAGGTTTTAGGTCATCTTCGGTCTAAAACTTGAGATCAAAGGTTATTTTTTAAATACAGCAGATCAGGACCAGCAGATTGAGCCTTGTTCATATTGATTAGACTGATTTACAATTTCAGATCTTTGAAAAAGTATATATTGATTAAATAGTTAAATACATTAAGGTACAACAACAATACATCACAGAAAGTTGCAGTGCATTTCATTCAATTGCTTGACTAACTGCACGTTAAAAAAGAACATTGAATGAGCCCAGCTTTATGTATACAACAAGTTAACTGATTGAGGAATAAATAAATTCTGCAGTCTATTAATTAATAACATGTGGAATCTTAAACTGCCTTATAAAGAGCACTAGTTAATATTCACCTCATAAAACATGAAAAGGAATTTGATATAATCTTTCATTACAATCAAGTGTTTGGCTCACAACTTTTGAGCGTATTCATTGCAATAGCATAGTCTGGAAAAATAGCATTTTGTCTATTTACGCTGTGTATTATGAGGAGTGACTGGAGGAGTTTTCGAACGTTCTTTACCTCTTAAATCTCTCTGTGAGGTTACTCAGCTCCATACGTGTCTTCTGAAGTTCTGCCTCCAAAAGCTTTTGGCTGCTCATGAACTCCTCTCCTAAACACTCCATCCTCACTGCTGTCTTCAGCAAAGTTTGATGCAGTCCTACATTCTGCTCCTGTAGTACCCTATCAGGATGGATAGAAAATAATTTAACAACACATTACTCTCAATACTGTAAAATTACAAAGGTCAGTGTTTTCTATGATATTCATATCCCAAATAATTTGATTGTGCAACCAATTAACTAATGAACAATATCACAATCATGGTTGTGACTATGACTTTTACCAGTTTACAAACACTCACATGATTCTACCCAGCTTGTGCGGCTTTTCCTGTATTAAAGAAAACAAAATTATTTTTAACATGACAAATGACATTCAGAAATACTATTGATAATGCCCAAAGAGTAAAGTGAAAAGAACTGTTGAAAGTGAAACATAGAACAACAATTGGCAATGTCAATTTGATTACAATTAGTTTGTGCAAGATAATTAATCTATTGTTCTGTAATAACTAGTGTCTAGTGTTCACAGTGTCATGCACACTGGTGCCCAAATCAATAGGCAAACAAATGAGTGGAACATTATTACATAAACAGTTAATCACACGGGCAACTATTGATTTGCCAATAATTACTTTATGGACATACTGTGATAGGGGATTTTATGAATGCGTATAGTCTTAACTTCAAGAAAAATGTCATACTTTATGCAATGATGATCCAGTGAAGCTTGTCTGGTCGTCTTCTTGACTTGAGGGGCTACTAGTATTCCTGGGTGAATCTGGCTTGCTGGTAAGAGACTCCAACTTCCTGTGTGATTCACTGTGGTGGTCTCCATGGTGATGGTGATGGCCTGCACTGTGGTCATCTCCATGGTTATGCTGATGAGATTCACTGTGGTGGTCTCCATGGTGATGCTGATGGTCTGAACTGTGGTGGTCTTTATGGTGATGCTGATGGCCTGAACTGTGGTGGTCTCCATGGTGATGCTCATGGTCTGGACTGTGGTGGTCTTTATGGTGATGCCCATGGTCTGGACTGTGGTGGTCTTTATGGTGATGCTGATGGCCTGAACTGTGGTGGTCTCCATGGTGATGCTCATGTTCTGGACTGTGGTGGTCTTTATGGTGATGCCCATGGTCTGGACTGTGGTGGTCTCTATGGTGATGCTGATGAGATTCACTGTGATGGTCTTCATGGTGATGGTGATGGCCTGGACTGTGGTGGTCTCCATGGTGATGCTGGTGTGATTCATTGGGGTGGTCTCCATGGTGATGCAGATGAGATTCACTGTGGTGGTCTCCATGGTGATGGTGATGGCCTGAACTGTGGTGGTCTCCATGGTGATGCTCATGGTCTGGACTGTGGTGGTCTTTATGGTGATGCTGATGGCCTGAACTGTGATGGTCTCCATGGTGATGCTCATGGTCTGGACTGTGGTGGTCTCCATGGTGATGCTCATGGTCTGGACTGTGGTGGTCTTTATGGTGATGCTCATGGTCTGGACTGTGGTGGTCTCCATGGTGATGGTGATGGCCTGAACTGTGGTGGTCTCCATGGTGATGCTCATGGTCTGGACTGTGGTGGTCTTTATGGTGATGCTGATGGCCTGAACTGTGGTGGTCTCCATGGTGATGCTCATGGTCTGGACTGTGGTGGTCTTTATGGTGATGCTCATGGTCTGGACTGTGGTGGTCTCCATGTTGACGCTGATGGTCTGGACTGTGGTGGTCTCCATGATGATGCTGATGAGCTTCACTGTGATGGTCTTCATGGTGATGGTGATGGCCTGGACTGTGGTGGTCTCCATGGTGAGGCTGGTGTGATTCATTGGGGTGGTCTCCATGGTACTGCAGATGAGATTCACTGTGGTGGTCTCCATGGTGATGGTGATGGCCTGGGCTATGGTGGTCTCCATGGTGATGATGACGAGGTTCAGTGTGGTGGTCACCATGGTTATGATGACGTGTTGGGTTGTGGTGGTTGCTATGGTGATGGTGAGCGGTTGGGCTTTGGTGATCTCCATGGTCACTGGCTTGACTGTGATGTCTATGATGGCGTGGTGTAGTAGGGCTTTTTGTGTGATTGCTATGGCGGTGGTAACCTGAACTGTGATGTTCTCCATGTTGATGTGTTGGGGTGTGGTGTTCTCCATGGCGATGAGCATGACCATGGTGGTCTCCATGGCGATGGTAATGAGCATGGCCATGGTGGTCTCCATGATGATGGTGATGAGCTGGGCTATGATGATCTCCATGGTGATGAGCTGGATTGTAGTGGCCTCCATGGTGATCGTGATGTAGTGTGTTGAGGTGATCTCTGTGGTGGTCACCATGGTGATAAGTGGGGCTATTGTTATCTCCATGATGGTAAACAGGACTGCGGCGGTGTCTGTGGTGATGGTGACTTGTGTTGTGGGGGTCTTTGTGATGATGGTGATAACTTGGGCTGTGGCTGTCACCATGGTGATGATGAGTAGAAGTGTGATGGTCTCCTTGGTGATGGTGGTGGTGTTTATAGGAAGGTGAATGAGAGCGATGCTGAGAGGTTTGGGACCATGAGGGACGTTTTTTCAAACAGCTAATATCAGTGCAGCTTTTGGGCCTGTGATGCATGTGATGGGCTGAGTCTGCAGAACGGTGACTGTGATGGTGGTGGAAAGATTTAGAGTGAGACAGACGAGTAGAGTGCTTGCTGGTATGGGAGTACTTGCTGGAGCTAGTTGAATCTGCACTTGCAGGACGACTTCTCTGCTGTCTGACTTTTTCAATGCTGCTGTCCGCCTTACTGGATCTAACAGAGGCCTTCCCCGGACTGCAGGGTCTTTGAGCATCAGTAACGCCAAGAGTGGTGAGTCTCATAGGGCTGAGCACCTGCCGAGTGATCTCATTAAGGAAGGCAGAGAACTTCATTTTTTCCTTCATTAAATTCTTCTTGGCTTCACCTTTTCTACTCTCTTGTTCATTTGCATCTTCATTTCCATGCCAATCTCTTTCTTTGGGTCTAGTCAGAGCTTCCATCGATTTGGCTTTGCGGAAACTTCCATAATTTCCTGAACCTCTTGTAATCCTCTCTGTGTTCTTATGCGTCCCCTGAGTAGTGCCACTGTGAGAGGACTTGCCTTTCTCCCGTTTGTGTTTGGCAGGGAGACCTTTTTTATCTATCAAAGGGGCTGTGTCTTCTCCTTCTTCAAAGTACTTGTGTTTCCTGGAAATGTCAGTGCAGGACTGTGAATGCTGGGCCTGCTTAAGTGGAATTCTATCTAAACACTCACTGCTAGTCTCAGAGGCAAGACTAGAGGAAGATGTTGAAGAGGAGGAAGAAAAGGAAGAGGAGGAGGAAGAAGAGGAGGAGGATGAAGAGGAGGATGCTGATGAGGAGGAAGAAGAAGAAGAAGAAGAAGAAGAAGAAGAGGAGGAGGAGGAGGAGGATGAACCAACTGAGGAACTTAAGGGTGTTTTTGAAAGAGAAACATGGCGATGGTTTTGCTTGCAATCGTAATTGTGAGAGTGAGAATGAGCAATCTTGTCATTATCACATTCATGTCGGGGGTCGGGGTGAGGATCACTGAAAATGCTGTCCTCTGCTGTTGAATGGGTGCTATTTTGAAAGAAAAGAAAACAGGTGTTAAAGACACACTGGAGCCCTATACAAGGGTGAGACAAACTAATGAAACCAATAATATTTTTGTAATAGATGGACAAATTTATGAATGAAAATTGTATAAAATATTAACTCTAAATGATATAGAGCTCTGCTACTTTAATCCTTCTTATGTAAAAACGTAGACAAAATAAATACAGAAGGTTTATATATCTTAGTCTATTTCAAAATAAAGCACAGATTCTGTACATGAGAACAGGCATGTAAGAGTGAGAAAAAACCATCCAACTTACTCATGGCTGTCATTGTCGTCTGACTGATGCTGGCTACGGTGACGGCGATGTTTTTGGTGATGGTGCTTCATTTGCTGAGATTTTGAGTAAGCAAGCTTTCCGTGCTTGGTGTCTTTTTCTTGATGGTCACACATTTCAGACTTATGACTTCTGACGCCTCTGGTGTCCTGATGAGGATGTAAAGGTCTGAAATATTTCTCCATCAACTGGCCTCTGCAGTCCTCAGAAACTGGCACGATATTGATCCCTCTGGAAATATTTTCCTTCTTTAAACATAATAACAATCAATGTACACACAAAACTAAATTTGAATTCATACTGTTATTGCAGTATATTAGGAAAAAAATTGGTCATTACATATTTATTTTATGATCAACAGTTACAACTTTATCAAACTATACAGGTTTAGTAAAGCAGTGACATGATTGTTGATCAATTTTATGCACATCATTTCTGAACCGTACTAGAAACATACCTAATGCAGTGCTACATGCAGTGAAAATGTGAACAATTGTCTTTAGCTTTATTAAGTTATAAGCAACTCTATAAAACATTTAATTATAAGTAAATGATATATTATAAGTTCTAGGTTTCTAATGGAAGTTCATTCTAGATCAGAGAAGTTCATTCGGATATTTGTCTGTAATTGACCAGAGAGCCAACATCTGTACTTACGTTCTCAAGGCAGTCACAGGAATGAGGCGGTGGTGTTTATTGAAACACAATGATTCTCTCTCTCTCTCTGTCATGCACCTTCTAACTGAACCGGGAAACACATGCAAAACCCACTCACTCTCAGACATCAATATATAGTCCTGTGCCATCCAATGACAGGGCCGGTTGTTGCACGCACACACTGAACTTTATTAAACTCTGCTCTACACTGTTCCATATATGATGGCTTAAGCATGTATTTGTAAAGATACCAGCATGAATGAGTAATGTAATGCACTTATGAGCAAAAACAAACCAATGAAAGATAAACCTTCAAAAAATCTATCCCAAATGTAATATTTCATCAGATCCACTCAAGAATATTTTAGTTTTTATTTAATTTAATAAGCCACTCAAACTGCCAAACATTTATGTAATAACACAATTTTTTCTTCTTTACTTTTTGCTGTTTGGTTTCCAGAGTATCTCACCACATCTCAATGATATTTTTATCTGGAGATGCCCTGAGCACATAATGATATATGGATATCATAATGTCTAGGATCTGACTCACTTGCACATGGGTCATTCAGTGTGATACATCAACAGCGGAGGACAGAATGTCAGAAGTAAACTCTGCTGCTCAAGTGAGCCTGTGTAACTTGAGGCATGGTAGAAGGTGGGCGTCAGATGTCACCCACTAGCATTAGTTGTTGTTTTTTTAGAATATTCACAAAATACTCTCTCACTAGTCAGAACATATTAGTGCTTCCTTTGTTTGTGAAAAAATACTGTGATAAGTCCTTGCTAAGAACTATACAACTTAAAAAGCACTCCAGATGTTAACAGTTCATCACAAAGATCATATCCTTTGATTGTTATCCCGAGAGCTTACAGTATGCACATTAGTGTTATTGATCAGGATGTCCCGATTATGTCAGTGCAATGGGCAGTCTAATAACTCAGAGCTTATGAGAAACACATTGAACTCCAATAGAGTGACAAAGGCAATTACACATCACAAGACATCATGATGTTATATTAAACCACTCATGAATTCAACCATTTCCATACACCAGGAAATACATCAGACAATGCAAACCACGGCTTTGTGGTGTATACAAGTGCAAGGTCTGTCATCCTCTTTGTAATTTTGCAGCATGTATCATCACTGCCTCCAGCAGCTTTCCCTGAATCGATGTAATATGGCTCAGATCCACTGACAATCAATGCCAAACCCACACTGCTGTGACAGTTTGGCAAACGCAATGGAAAGTTAGAAGAGGCAACTAACACTCACATGCTAACACGTGATGTATTGGCGAATTATAACGGCGATATCTACACTTGAAGGGGGTTATTACAAGGGTTACAAGGACTGCATGTGACAAAGCTACATCATGCAAAATGTCATCATTGGCCTAGTAATGATTGCAGTACTCTCCATGCTGAAACACTGCACATTGGCCTATGGAATTATATGCATTTTTCACATATGATTCATTGTTATAGCGTTTAGTAAAATAATATTACATTTGTGTGGAGGAAAATATGACCTCTATATGAAGTTTTGTTTTCAGATGATGAGATATCCCCTTCTCACTATTTTACTTTCATGAGGTTCTTAGGGTCACTCATTGCATCATACATGCAGACCCATACACCATTAAAGAATAGTGACAAAGATTAGATTGAAATAGTAAAGGTCTTTAAGGTAAAATAATGTTATTAAGTAATTGTATTGTGGGGTTTTAAATGCCAGTTGTGCACATGTCACAAGAACATAACACTATATGGCAAAAAGAAGGCAGAAAAGACAAAAGAGAGAAAATAACCAATGGACAATGGGGTCAAGTTTGAACTATAAATAAAAACACCCAACACAAAATCTAGGACTCATCCACAAGAAATTAGTTTTGTTTTTGTAGCGAACACATGTACATTGAGGTGGATGCACCACCAGGGGGAGTAGTGTGCAAAATATTTGTGGAGTAGTGTCATGGCTGAGCACCACAGTCAGTCCATTCATCAGGTTTTTATCTAAGGGGCAGGTGAAGTAAAAAGTACACCATGTTCAGTTCAAAGTTGGAGTATCTAATATCCAGCTTTTCTTTATTTAGAGTCCATTCCTCATTCTTTGTGCAAGAATCATGTCTGCTCCCAAAAAAAGACATTATCGTATTAACACAGAGACTGATGACACAGCTATGAATCACATACACAAAACTTGTGACTGTATACGAGCTTCTATTTACAACGCAGCATTGCAGTTGTTCAAAGATGGTCTAAATCAAAGTGAAGCCTTTACTTTTACCGGCCACCTGTTAAAATAAGGTACAAACTGCATCTTTGAAAGAACACTTTTTTTTATTAGAGACAGACATATAGGCCTACTGTAGGTAGTGTCATGCTGCAGTAATAAGCTGTAAAAGAGAGTAAGTGGTTACTTGCTGCCAGTCCTCCAGTGATCTGTATTTTTAAAGTAAATATTCATAAATGTTGTGACTTTAGTGCAAATATTGCTTTGAAAAGGAGTGCGACAATTTACAATGTAGTGGACACACTGCATCTATTGTGTGGGATCTTGTTGACTGTTATTACCACTGGTCTGTGGAAGCATAAATATGCTGCTTACAGCTAGCAGCTGGGCAGTGGAATAACAACATTTTTGTTGCATACAACTGACATTTCCGAAATTCCTCACTCTTGAGTGAGCCTTTGCACGAGTAGATAATGGTCATGTTTAATAGACTTTAAAAAACTGAAATTCTGTAGTATTCCCATTTAATTGACAGTCAAAAAAAAAACATCAGGAAAATGTACATACAGTATGTACGGCAAATCTAAAAGCAATGCACTCAATTTCAGAAGTAATGCAGACACCCATAAATAGTTATGTATTAATTAAGTGTGGGGTATATTTGATTCCAGTTCTGGCCACAGCTTCTCTGAAGGAGAAACGCACAAGGCCGCTCAAATCAAACCAGCAAGTGGAGTCAGTTTATGAAGGTGTAGAAGTTAATGAACGTTTCATTGTTGATTATATACATTCTGACCTTCCTGCCAGCAAAAGATGTTCTTTCAACATCGACAGTGTTTATTTAGTTTCTACTTAACTTAAAAAAAATCCACTTATAAAGATCACTGACAAATGTTAGCTGGAATTGTAAATATAAATATTACCGCTTTTCATCATTAGCTTTTCAAAGTAACAATTACTGGATCCTTTGTCTACAGTATATGCACCGGGGCTTGGTCACCTTTGGAGTTTGGATTTTTTTAATGGTCTGTGAAGTGCCCTGGCAAGCCTGATGTAAATGAATGGAGCCAGAGATTGCCTCCATCATAAAGAGCTGCACTGTCTCTCACTTTTCCATTCAAGTTGGGTAAACGGCTCCCTCTGTTGGGCTAACCATGTAGTGGAAAGTCCCATTTCAGCTCGGCCTACACAGGCTTTTATTGTGTAACACAGAGGGAAAAGAAGGAATTGATGCTTGTAATCAGTTTTTCCCCACACGGATGTTGGGGTTAAGAAGAGGATCTAAATTTGGGTCTGAGCCAGCGGAGGCACGTCCAAGTTTAGCCATGATGATTATCAATGTAAAGAATCCCAGAACTCCGACCAGAAGAAGCATGAAGACCCGCTGTTTCCAGGAGAAAGATGTGCGCTTTCCACCTGTGCGATTCCTGAAAAGATAAAAAATAAAAATAAGAGATAAAGGTGACATGTGATTCCTGGTGACAAAGCAATAAAAGAGAGCCACAGCTGATTGAGCTACTAACTTGAGAATTTGAGCAAACCAACTCAATGCTGGCCGTCGCCGGTACTTGTCATCGTCAAAATCAATCTGTGTGACAGAGCTGTGACCGATATCCCGTGTGTCATAGATCTTTCTGGGTGACGATGCTGGAGAATAACAACAAAATAATTGTGTTAATCTTTCAACAAACAATGTTCAGTGTGTGCACAAAACTGAGCTAAACATTGTTTTGAATGTTTTGGAGTACTTAAAGGTCCAGTGTGTAACATTTAAGAGGATCTATTGGCAGGAATGGAATATAATAACATTGGGAGGTTTTTATTGAATGATCACCTTTCAAGGAGGCCGCCATGTTTCTACTGTAGGTCAGAAAGGACAAACCAAACACTGGCCTTTAGGGGCTTTTGCATTTTTCGCACACTTTGCAGCCACCGTAGTTTTTCCTTTGTGTTTGGAAGGGACGGCTGAAATGAGGGAAGTAAAATCTGCACAGCTAGATTCCATTAAATCCTACAAACTGGACCTTTAAGGAAAGACAAAGCTGTACTTTAAGAGACTGTAGATTCAGAGGGCTTCCCATTGCGTTACCTGTGTGTATTGTAATTGTGTCACAGGTGGGGGCAGTACTTAAGTTGACCACAGAGTGCTCCTGCATATTTGGATCCCCATTTTTACGTGGACCTGCAAGGTCTTCCTGTGGTGGAGCTGAGACAGAATTTGATGGTGGGCTGAGGCTGGTGTTGGTGTTGAAAGAGTGGCTGGGGTAAATGTTACTTTGTTCTTGTGCTGTGGAAACAAAAAGGGAGAGTTTGATTAAAACACTTAAACAACACTGTGTCAACAGCTACTAAACAGTCCCTGATAAATACACACGTCATAATGAAAAGCAAACATTAAGGCTCACCATCAAATGTTGACCAGTCAGTATAATCAGTGACATCATTGGCTGCGGTCTCCTCAAGTACCCCAACGGGCTCTTCAATCTGTCAGACAAAGATTAAAGTTTTATTAATATGATATAATGCACAGTTCTGAATTTTCTACTCACTTGATTTGTTTTCACAAAGACTTGTCTAATGGTTGTGAGATCTCCAAACAAGGGATTTAACCACAATAGGCCCTTACCAGTGGCAGGCCCAAACCAGCTCTAGCCCAGTTAACAGATGAAAGCTGTTCTTTCAGCACATCAGCAATTGGGCTGGCCAGGTTGGAAGGGGGAAACACTGGACCCTGACAGGCGGGACACTGGTATCCCGCTGGAGCCGTATGGAGTGGCAGCCGAGATGCCAAGTTATTAAGACAAGACCAGTGAAACACATCTGTGGAAGGAAGAAACTTTTTCATGTCATAGCAACACGGGTGGGAGCACAACAAACAAAATTCTATTCATTTTGTCATTTGGTTGAACTGTTCCTTTAAACATCAGTGGATTCGCTTTACACAGATGTGCATATATTCCCAATAAAATACAGAAACCTGATAATCTTACCATAGCAGACCAGTCTGACCGTGTCTTGAGCAGTCAGTGGAGTATTACACAGAGTACAGTTGGGATTGTAATCGCTGTCCTGAAGCCATTGCAAATATGACTGCACGATACACTGAAGGGCAGCAAGTGGAAATACAGAATTTTAATGTGATGTTACAACTTTAGTACAAACGTGATTCATGTGATACCTGATTGCCCACTGACCTTGTTGTGGTTGGAGACGAGGCAATGCTCGCACACATTAACACGATGCTCAAAGCAGAATAGATTGGTCACCTTTCTCTTCGGACACTTGCAGAGACCCATAGCCACCTGCGCTGTGTTGAGAACAAACAAACAAATGCAGGTTTGTTATGGATGTATACAACAAAAAGTTGAAGTTCAACATTCTGTAAAGACTGTGTCTCTACACAGACCATTTAGTATGAGCAGAGGCTAGAAGCAAGCATGATATGTCTTTATTTTCTAGCAAAAGCATGTGACATTAAAAGGTTTGCACTGTATCCTGAGGCTAATGTTCTCTTGAACACAGACTAGACCAGCATAATAGTGGCAAAGATTGACATGACTTTATATTTATTTTTTTCCTGACAGCCCCAAATTTCCTCAGATAAAGAAGCCATATTTTTGCCAAATTTCTGCTGTCACGTCAGTTACGTTAAAAACAAGGAAATTAATAAATAGCAGAAGCGATATATCCATCAGCCGATATTATCCGATATAAATACTGTTTTTTCCAGTATATAACGCAATGAATTCTTGTAGCTTTTATAGCACTGATGTTGAGCTATATATTTTATTTTTATTCATTCTTTATTTTCTCATATATCTAGAATTGGTTGACAATGTAACGTAGATGTTATGTTGAAGAATATATAACTTAAATATTCTTAAATAAAGTTATTTGTTTAAGATAGCAGTGTTCTGAGTACCTTTGCATTGTTCTATTGGTGCAAAAACTTTTTTTATTCCAGCTAGAAGATTCTCTATATCGGCGACCATATTGGTAATGGGCGAAACTTCCCCCTCTAAAATCAGTATCAGTCTCAAAAAATCTGCTGCACGATATAATATAGACATCATATTGCAATTATTTTCACAGATACGGCACTTGTGATTTATGTGTGAATGATTCTTTTGGCATCACAAATTGAATTTTCACTTAAAAAAAAACTATAAAAATGATGGTGATGTGAAGTTTGAGGGGGTCTGTATCTCATCTTATCGAAACATTAACATTATTTATCCATTTGCATATTGCACTTGACCATATTGCAATTTTGATAATATATTAATTGAGCAGCTCTAATAAATAGGCAATAAAAGTCAGAAAAGGTCAGAATGTAAACCAGTATCATGTACTTACCCCTAACCCATGTACATATCATATGGTGATATAAATTTGTCAATCGTTATACACTTTGCCATACGATAATATACTACCAATAGCATTTATACCAAGGTATATAAGTTTTCTCTGACTGTATGTGGCCATTGTGAGGTGGACAATGTTGCAAATCAGTGTGATTAAGTCTTTACTTAGGTATTACATTTTCTGGTTATTGTACACATTAACAGTGTCTTAAATAAGTTTCTCACCTGGATGTACAATATAAAACTACATTACACAATACTGTGATAGAGGATTTAGCCACATTGGCCACTCCTGTGTTAGTATCTCCAAGGACTTTGGTCCTGATAATATGTTGTCTTATTTATAGCCTTATTTTACCTAATTAACATTTGCTAAAGGTTTTTGTTCTACCTTTCTATGTGTGTTTACTCTGTCTGCTTTATCTACTTTATTACCCTACGGTCATGCCACAGGTACTGAATGGGACAGCCAGAGCTAATAGCCTCAGTAGATTGTGATGTGGTATAAGAACAGAAAGTTTCATAGACAAACCAGGTCCACATTATCGATATCGACAGGATATTGGGTTAACGTGCAGTGTCATTTACTTATAAGCTGGTTATCAATAGCACTCGGCAGTAGATGCTACTCATACTGTCTGTTTACGTGATTTATACTTCTTTAGCTGTAACTGGCTGCACCTTTAATGTTGAACTGGACAAAGTTATCGTACACATTTTCGAGAGGTCGTGCGTCAGTCTTTCTGCTCTATCTTAATGTCTCCACAGCAAACACCAGGTCTGTGGACACCTTTTGGCAGCTACTTGAATCTGAGCTAACATTAGCTGCTAACTTAGCTGGAAGTTATCAGGTGAGGTAACGTTAGCAGCGAGCTAATCTAGCTAGCTAGTGGAGTTGAGGAAGTTCCGACGCAAAGGACAAATAATGACATGTTACCTGTCACACAGACTCTAATCAAGCCCCGTTCGTTTCAGGTAATGTACGACTGTCATTTAAGCTTCCTTGTCAAACGCACATGAGAGGCGGCTCCAGGAGCTGTCATCAGTAAACCTGACTCTCTGCTAGCTGCTGGCTTCCTCTCTCTGTTTATGTGCCACGTCTCTTCCGCTTCTGCGTCTTCTTCGGGTCTTTTTGTGTAACAAACCAACTGGTGCATTGACACTGACACCTACTGGGCCGGAGTGCATGTTCCTTTAGATTGTGTTTTAAATGTGACGACTTTTTGTATAGAAGTGATAACTATATATATATATATATATATATATATATATATATATATATATATATATATATAAATAACTTTGGCGGACGGTAAAGCTGCATTCACATGTTTGTTATGTTTTGTCACTTCATACTGTACTGGAGGAGGCTTTTCTTTAATTTACACGCACAGGTGCTTTATCTTAATAGAATCCAAACTGTCTGTGCAAAACACACGCTGATATATGAATTACATGAATTAAGATAATATAACTAATCACAACCTTGTATCTGTTTGACACTGGATATCCACACAGACATTAAAAGGTAGCCTATATTTACAAGGAATTCACATCTTGTATCAGATCCTCACTTCATGATTCATGATAGTTGACACTACTGTATGATTTCCACACATTTAAATGTTCATTATTTTTCATAAAACATCCTGTCTTCTTCCCATCTATTACATCTAGACTTCCAGATGTAGAATCCAGCATAGATATTAAAACGTGTTAGACAGATGACTTTTTAATAATGTTACACTAAAACCTTTCTTACTTTAACATCAGATTTAAAAAACACTTCAGATTAAAATCATTAAATGAGAAAATATTAGATAAACTTGATTGATCTCAGGAGCAAAATGAAGTACAAGAACAGATGCATAATATAGATAAGTAACCTTAAAACTAGAATACATTAACATTTCTAAGTTATGATTATATATGCTATATAGCTGCTGTTATGTGGAGGAGAGGCATCAAAAAAGTGATGAAACTGTCATGTTTCTCAGATTCTCATTTAGTGTAATACATTCACAGTTTTTTCTTGCAAGAGAGCAGCAAAAAAAGGCTTCTTGTTTTGCTGCTCTCTTGCCTTTTTGTACTTGGCAGGTTTGTGTCAGATTGCAGTTAGTGTGTTTAGTCAGCAGATGGTGTACAAACTGATAGCCAATAAAGTGTTGGCTATTACAAAAGTACACAGAATGCTGGGTTCAATCATTCATCCGTCAGTGCTCCCTGTGCAGATAAAGATATTAACCATTCATCAGCAGAACAGACCCCAAAACACAGTTTTCACAGATAAATTATTATTATTATTACTTCTATGTGAATGTGTGGATCTTTTAAATAGATGACCAATGATTGCAAGGAGTGATGATCATAAGCTTGTGAATTACTGCAATGGCATAATTAAAAGTAGTAAAAGACAGAGAAGAAAAGATGTTATGAGGGAGCAGCCTAGTTCTTCTTGCACTAATAATCAAGTTTGATCACTGGGATGATTTGATTGGATCAAAATGTGTGACTTCATTTGATCTTATGGTGTGTTATTACTGAGCAACATTTTGAATCCGTCTGGTGGAGAATGACTGCCAAATGTCATAAATGTAAACGTAAATGGATGTTAAGAGATAGTAAGGGGCTGTAAATGTGGGAAATGACTGTCATAAAAACCTTGGCCATTCCTGATAGACCTCAACAGTGTTCAATAATTCTGTTCAATCAATAATTCTGATGCTTTAAAATGCTGGGTCTTAACAGTATTCACATTGCAGCCACGATAGCTCTCAATCCAACCATGACAAGCATTTTTTAAATGCATGCACATCGATGTGTGCATGATGCTGCCTGTCCATGCATAATAATGACTTTTTGTCTTTACAGTATGCATGTATGCTTGTGTGTGTAAATGGCCGTGCATACATTTGAGAATGAGGGTACACATTTTTTTCTTTCACAGTTCATTGCGCATATGAATTGCCCATAAAGGGAAGCGATGAGAGACAAATGAGAAACAGCAAAAGAAGAAACAGCTACAGTCCAAGGAAGGACACAGAGATGTTCTGTACATCCAAGGTCTTAAGCACTGAATCAAATGATGCTGCATGGAATAATAAGTTGTTTAATGCAGCACTGAGTGTAAAATCCTTCTTAGGATTTTGCATGGCAGTGGAAAAAAAAAAATTGCAAATTAATTAAGTTGCTCTAATTCTTTTAATAAAGTTAAATTTAACAATTAAGTAGATCATATTAGTGTAAGAGGAGATCAGTCCCATCTCAGTCTCAAGGCATTTCTGTGAGGGCAGTTTTTGAAACAGCATACATAAACAACTCTGGATACATTTTGGATCATCTAACCCCCAGTGGCAAATTGTTTAATGTCTTTGAAGGGAAAAATATGAATATGAGACTAAACGACATTGTGCAAATGAGCATGAACTTGTAGTGTCCTCAGTGATGAGCGGGGACACATATAAATCACTGACAGGGGGTAAAGACATGTGGAAAGGGCATTTGAAAAGCACTGGAGCTATCAGATGGAAGCAAAATCTAAAGACAAATGACAGAGACACTGGAGGACAAATCAGCCCTGGAGCTGATATGACCGGAGAGGTTCTCTGGTTGGGAGGGGGGCATTGATTGATTGAGTCTGGCAACTATTGATCAGCTATCAGCTCTATCAGTGAGGGGAAGCGTTAAGATTCAGGCACTGCATGTTTAATAAATCAGTTCCCTGATGTTACTGTAAAGGGACTGGTCCTAAATCAGAGGGGTGCTGAAAATCCAGATAAATGTGGTGCATGTTCCTTAATGGAGTTATGACCCTTTGATGTGTAATAGGCTACCTTTTTAACATGTTGCATTTACAATATTGAAAAGGAAGCAGTGAGAACTCTAACCACAGGCTGGTACCTCCAACGTGCAGTTTAATTTAGGTTGGATGGATGATTCAGGTCTGTCACATGGGAGAGAAGCTTCAATCCACACAGCTCAAGCTTTCTTACAGTTTCTAAGACTTGAGAAGACAATTTTCTACCTATCATGTTAACAAATCTAACCTTAATTACAAGTCTTGCACATTCACTGATGATTTTCACACTAATCATGCTATTCTCTCTCTCATCCATCCCACACACAGATGCACTGGTTGCTGTACAAAATCTGGATTTGTTTAATTTCTTTTTGCTAAAAATTATTGGATTTTAAATTCAGTATAACATATCAATGCTCTGTGGCATATATCATTAGTTTAATCTCAAGGTTTCAGCTAGATTTGTTGAATTTCACAGTAACAAATTATTTCCAACACTTGTATTACTGCTGTTTGTGCTAGCTTTGCACTTTACTTTTCCGGTTTATGCTTATGCTAATGATGAATGATGACTTCATAGCTGACAGCAACAAAAGTGCACAGATCAGGTCATGTGTCTTTCAACAAACGTTCCATTACAATACATATGGCACATCTTCAGTGAATAGAATTTTAGAGCATATGAATACATGGATATGCTGCATATAACAAATAAAAATGATGACTTCAGCTTATGCCTATTTTTAAAAACAGAGAATGCAAATATTGTAGAGGGAACACGTTTGAATGAACATTGTTTGGTCCATGTGAAGTCCCGTTGTGCTTACTGTGAGAAGAGTTTGGAAAAAGTGAAAACAATCAGCACTTATCGGAAAAGAAAAATATGAAAATAATAAAATGTACAATGCATTTATATAGTAGAAATGTGTTTTATTCTTGTTCCATGGTCATCTCGAGTACCTGGAACAATCTAGCGCCCCTGTGGGGGTCCCAGTCTCCAGGATGAAAACTACTGTGTTTACCCCATTTCTCAGTGAGCTTAAGAAATGTTTTTCTTTCTGATTGTATTTGTTTTAATGTGTTTTGTTGTGCCTCTTGTACTTCTGTGTGTGATAACTGAAAATGAAGCAAAATCAAATCCATGGTCATAGCCACATCATCTAATTTGGAATGTAATTACACTGTGGGCACTGTTACTTTATCAGGACGGTGGCTCAGAAGCAAATCCATCAGGCTTTGCTCTGAATGAAATTGGATTGACTGATTGATTTATGTATGTCAAGTGAAGGGCAAAGAGGCGAACAAAAAGAAACGGCAGAGTGTGAGAGCTGGTCAAAGGGAGGGGACTCGCAGATATATGGATGAAGCATGGCCCCCTGATGGGGGAAGGAGAGTATTGAATCAGACAGAGATAAATGGAGTGTGAGAGACAGAGAGAAAGAAATTCAGACATATGCCTGCTGACCTCAACCCTTTTTTTTTCAACTAATCAATACAGGGAAATGTATGTGTGTGTGTGTGTGTGTGTGTGTGTGTGTGTGTGTGTGTGTGTACTTGTTTGAAGGGAGGAAGGTTCTTTGTCGCTCCCAATAAAGATCAGAAACACAGTGACATTACCTCGGCACTGTCTGACTCCCCCATGGCCTTCCAACCTTTGCACATGCCTCTATTTAATTTTGGAGCCTGTAATCCTATAAAAGACTGAGAGGTCTGGAGCACTTAGACTGTCCTCGTCACTGAGCTCGGTGAGGAAAACATAAAACATCACTGCTGCACAAATGCGTCCTCAGGTCGTGCATGTGCAAATAAAGTGTATCTGTGCACATGCTTTACTTGTTTTTTATTTGGTTTAACCAATAGACAGAGCTGCATTTTCACACAAAATAATTAATAACAAAGAATTAAAAAATGATTGGTTATTAGGCACTTTTTTATCTGACTGCCAGACTCTCTCTCCCTCTCACTCACTTATAAATACACACACACTTACTGGCTGACAGAGAAAAGACACTAGCTTTTTCTAAGGAATAATTTCTTTGACAGATGTCTGCTGTATACCGTATATTGCTCTGAGCAGTGCATTTTCCCAGCAGAGAATTCTCCACAATTTCTATTAATCAGCTAAAATGTGTTCCACCTAGGATTCACCCCCTATCAGCCTTATTATTGGTTCCGCCTGTCGTTTACAACTGAAAAATTTCCATACACATCTTCAGCCAATTAGGAAGAAGCCCCAGCATAGCTGCATTCAAATCCAAATTGCATAACAACCACACCGACCCAACATTCAATTATCCAGACTTG